CCTTATGTCTTTATCAATATAGAAATGAGCCTTTCTTTACATCCAAAATTGATATAATTTTAAGTATTTTAAATATATTTAATCCTTTTACAACGAGCTCTCATTTTAGAAGATTACCTTCAAATCATGGCTATATTTTGGCCATGTTTTTCTTGATCCTGAGTTTAAAATATATTTCCCATCTCTGACCAGTGTGTGTGTGTCTGCTTCGGGCTCATCAATAATGAGGCGACGAGGATGTGGCTCGTCGGCTTCGTTGCTGATGATGGTGATGACCATGATCGATGATTGACCTGTTTTTGTTTTGCCCATCTTTAGAGTGACGATTGCCGGCGAGTCTTCCTCTGGCTCTGACCACACCCATTGACAGGCATGTGCAATGTGCAATTATTTGCGGAGAATCACCGCGGCAACAGCAACAGCAACAACAACAACCACAAGGGGAGTACTCAAATGGAATTGCCACATTGATTGATGTGCTCAATAAATTGCACGACGAGCATCAACTGTTTCTGCAGTCTGGCACTGGGAATGTGGCATGTGATAAGGCCAATGGGAGGTGACAAGAAAATCGAGCTGCGGAGCCTTTAAATGTCCAATAGCCGTCGTAACAATGGCATCAAGAAAAAGATTTAAGAGAGAGCTAAAATGGAATAGATTGATTGGCCAAGATAACTCATATATCAATTAAAAGACATTTGCATACCAAAAGTTGAGGCAGTCGAAGTAAAATGGATAGCCAAATTTTTTCTGCTTTGATATGCTGGAAAATCTTTTGACAAGCTAAGAATTATTTATGAAAAGTTGCAGTATTTAACAGATGGTAAATTGTGATTTTGTAACCCCAACAAAATGCTATGACCTTTCATAAGACATCTTTTTTTGTTTTGCAGTTTTCGCATATGCTGCAGGGATTGGGACTTGAATACCCAGTGGAATGCCTTTTGGCGCATGAATCATTGGCAAGACCCCACAGTCTTCGGGAAACATTTTAATTATGGTTTTTAATTTCACGGCCCATATCGTCGGCTGTCAGGTGATTTCCCCTGAAATATGCGCAGAACACACATCTATCAAGAACGCTTGGTCGAAGGCACTGGCTCCTCAGCGAGGAATGCGCACTGAGCGGTGAAATATTTCACTCTATTTCTGTTTTCGTCTTTCAGAATGAAATTAAGTGTTAATCTCATTTGATTTGTCATTTTCACATGACGTGATTTGGCGGCCTTCGTAGCCACTGGCAGCAATGAAAACGATCGCCTCTGGGCCGTGATGTATGGGAAACAAATGTTTCTCTGACACATTTATTTGTTTAATGAGACGTTGAATAATTAGTTGGATATGGCACAGGCTGAAGAAAACATACAGCCGAGTACAAAGGCGAAATGCACAACTCGCATCGATGTGGATTTCCATCCTCACACCCCCACACACACACACATCAGTTGGCATAGCAATTTATAAATTATGATTGACGACTCTCTGTGTGTGCGGAATTGTGTGACCCATCGCAGTTAGCTCCGTCCCTTGCCCCTTTCTACATTCCCCCACATCGAAAGCCCCCGGCTCCATCATGTGAGACTCGTCTGACATTTTTCTATATAGTTTTTTGCCCTGGCCTCGGTCATTATGGCTGACAGCGCGCCTTCAAAATGATGAGTTTAGATTGATGGCCGCACATCACTCAGCGAGATGGCAGCCACACCGAGTGGAGACGGTGAGCTGAGTGGATTCGCCGAAGCTGAAATACCCTTTCTTAAGGACACACTATGGGTTCATGGGAAAGATCTTCACAGAGCTAAAATAAAACTATATTAATAAAGAAAAACATATTTCAGATTTGAGATGAGAAAAGGTAATTTCTACTTTTAGCAAAATTTTAAATTAGTCTATATGATTTTTATTTATATCTCTCTTAGGTTTGACTAACAAACCCTTATGTTAGTTAGTTAATCCAATCCGATTGCAGTTCTTGTGGCTTCGGGCTCAAATACTCTTACCCATCTGGCTCGCCTGTTGACATGTCACTAATTTCGGAATCGCTAAGCTGATTTTGCTGGAAATTTGATTTTCGCTGTGAGCCAGCCCTTGGGACATGTCCCCACTCCCCTTTTGAAACTTGGTCGATGATTGATGTGTTTGGCATATGAAAAACCGAACCGAAAACAAAAACCCTTTTTCGAAACATATTCTATGTCATTTTGTGTGTGCCACAGCAGAGGAGACAGGGAGGAGTGGAGAAATGTATTAATCATTCGTGGCGAAGCCAAGCGAGCCGAGGTGATAAATTAAGTTTGAAGACGATTGGGAAATGTCTGTCGAGTAATTAGTGATCTGAGCTGGGTCTGGGATTGGGGTCTCTGTTCGGGTCGTTCGTAAATCGCAGTTTCTAGGCGGCAGCGGCGGCGGCCTAAGAGAGCAATAATGATGTGCCTGACAGAAGAAATGCAAGAGACCGAAATTAAATATGATAAAAGACCCACACAGTCTGTTGCCATAATTAAGTATGACATGCAAAAGTATGAATTATCACTGAAATGTCAAAGTGTCACAGCTGCCATCAGGCAGAGATGGAGAATCTGGCGGAAGGCATAAATAAAACGCCAGAGGAGAGAGTGCAAGAAGCCGACAACGAACGCCGCGTGTGGGATTAACTGACTTGAAAATTTATGATATGAAAAATTACTTTAGCCTGGCAGACACACATACAAAACTGCAAAACTGAGAGATGCAGAGTGCCATTGCCGTGGATACTCAGATACTCAGATACTGAGATACAAAGAGAGATGTTTATTTTGTATTTTATTCGTCGTCTCCCATTGAGCATCGAGAAATTTGTGGCCCGAACAAATTTCCCAAAGTCTCTGTTGAAAAATTAATGTGCACAACTGTCAGTGCAGTGACAGAGATGCGATGTGAATGGGGTTCATATTCAGATGCGGATTGTGATGCGGATGGATGCTGATGCTGATGCCGAGTCTCATGCGGAACGGGGCGTGAGGGTTGCTGTTGTGAAAGCTCTTGATAAATGATTTTGAAATGTGACAAAATGCTTACGAGCGGGATTAACGGGGACGAGACGACGACGGCCCAAGGATTGTTCGAAAAAGAGTTATTTGCCATCTAAAGGGACCGGCAAAGTTTGTTTTGTGCCATCGGAATCAGATGGGATTACAGAGATTTGCTCAAATGAAGTTGTAACAGAAGTGGATGTTGAGATACGTTAGGGGAAGGTGCGTCATGTCCTTAGCTAGACGAATAAAATCTCTATGCCAATAAAAATCAAATGAAATTAGATTTGTTTTGTTAGCATTTCCAGGAAATGGATATAGTATTTCACACAAGATTATTGAAAGAAAAGGAAAACGGTTCGGTTTTTGGAAGAAGGTGGATAGAAACGCAAGGAATTACTGATAATATTTCCATATTTCCTTATATAAGTACCTCTCATAATTTATGTATTCCTTTTCCGTTGGCCATAGCTCATCAAGGCATCCATCAAGCAATGTCGCGACATTATAACGACTCGAAATCAAAGACACCACGAGTTAAGGTCTCTAGACGCCCCCAGAGATATCGAACTGCGACGTAGACATCAACGATCACTTGATCGGTGATCGGTGATCGGCGATCGACGCCTTCTGGCGTTTCCATGCCATCGATCTTGTTAGTTTTGACGCATCTGTAAGTGGCGGCGACACAAGTCGGAAAGTGAAATGCAAAGCGAAAGATCCCCTGCCAGATCGATGGCCGGATCGCATCGGGGCCACAACATCATCAGTCAAATGGCGCGACTGCGTCCGTGGCCGGGTCAATTCGCGTGACAGCTCTCTTGATTTATGCGCCAGACACTTGAGTTGCCCACGAGATAATCACCGAATTCCCCGCCAGGGCGCACACTATTTATCAAATAATTAACCGATCCGATAATGTTATTACACTGTCTATAAATCGGACACTGTGAGATCGGGACTCCCCTGATAGATTGACCGTATATAGTGTAGAATGTGGCAGGTGTCTCGACGGGTCTGTTGGGAAGTGGCAAGTACTTGGGCTGCATTTGACACGACGGTAAACACAGATATAACCCAAGGGTGGAGTCTCAAATGCTGGTCTAGCTGGGTTCCTGGGAGATCGGAAAACACGATGCCATTCAGTTAATTGAAAGCCCATATCAATATATTTAAATGACAGGGTATTAAGGAGATTCCAGGGTATGCTAGATTGTTGAACTGACTTGGGGTCCTAAGTATATATATATAGGCAATATCTACTGTAGAGGGATTACAAAGTATAATAGGCATTTATGGGATTTTTAAAGGAAGCTTGTTATGTACCCAAACTTATCACATATAACAATACAGAAAACTTATATTAATTTCGAACAGTGGGAATCTTAAAGTCGATACAATCGACTCGCACATCTCTTTGTTTGGGGGCGATTAAGCGAAAGCGCCACTCCCTAAACTCCGAGCAGTGTCCACTTTCCGTTCCAGGCACCCCATATAAATCAATTAATTTAAACTGTCAGGCAGCTGTCAAATTGTGTTGCTACCGGGAGCGTTTTTCGTTTCGCTTTTGACTCGCTCGGCTTGGCCGGGGTTTTTGTTGTACTTTGTTATGGGTTCTCGAGTTGCGGGGGAAGCCGGTGGCGAGTCTTTTGGGTACGGCGACATGTCGAGATTTACTACTGAGTGATTGACGACTTCATGTGTCATTAAATACCGTTAGCAGTCGCTTTTGTATGGCGAACACTGGACCGGACCGGAGTCATTTTTCATGCCACATCGCTAGTGTTTAGTGAAAGTCGCCGCAATGCCTTATTTGCCGCTTCGGCACTTACAGCTGAACATGAGGCTATCTGAGTGTGATTAGTTGCAATTAGACATCCCGCCGCGGGGGCGGAAATTACTCTCACGCATAAATTAGTTAATACAGCATTCCAGGGCTAACAGACATATGGAAACTAAAGGAAGTAAAAAAAGATTCTGTATTTTGGGGTCCCTTCTCCTATACTCAAATATTCTTTATTCGATTGAATCGATGGCATATTTCAGGGTCCACTCACGAGCTTTTCTTAAGGCCTTATCCTCATCTTCCTTCCATAACTGGGCAACGTCGTTGACCAGTGGATCGTCCGGATTGGGAGCACTCAACAAGGCCTGGATCGAAAGAAGAATGGTGCGGATTTGAAGAGCCGGACTCCATTTGTCCTTCAGCACATCCAAGCAGATTCTACCCAAACGATCGATATTGGGATGATAAATCTTCGTCAAGAACCGAACCTTCGGGGCCTTCATTGGATAGTCATCCGGTAGAAACAATTCTAGTCGAAAGATTCCGCCTTGAAAGGGAGTCTCATTAGGACCGGCGACGAGGACATGAAAGTACCGGGCATTTGTTTCGTCTGGGGCTGCACTAATCCCAGGAACTGGGTCTTCGATGAGGCGCTGTGTCTCCTTAATAATTCGACGGGATAGTCCAGACATTTCCTTTGTATAAACTATTATTATGGTTTTTGTTTTAAGCTAATATGTTTATATACCTTCTTCTGGTTTCTAGTTTAAAGCAAAAGAATTTCCCGCAGAAACTGATAAATCTAATAATTTGTCTGGTTTTTAACTTCCCTTCTCAGTTGATTTAGTGTGAAGTTTCCTACTGAAAGACCTACTTCGTTTCTCATATAGGTGATGAGTTAGCCTGCCAATCAATAGTCATGGCTAATTCGATTACCCAAATCATCTCAATAGTAACGAATCAAACGCTCAATTGCCATACAATTATCCTTCAGAGGGCAAAATTGAAATTGACTCGAGACAGTCGCCCTTTCACCCCCATTCCCTAGCCACACAACAATAAAGCCGAGCCAATGCATTCCCATCCCGCAATCCTTGAGTCCTTGCGAAATCCCGGGTGAACTGGCAATGTTAACTGGCACTCAACTAGCAGCTTATTAGCAAACTTTCCCATTGGATTATATAGTTGAATATTATAATAATCGAGTTAGGTTCGTGTAAGTGGGTGCTCCGCTGGCCCCGCAATCCGCAGACTTTGGGGGCATGGTTAGCAGTCAGCTTTCATGCACAATTTCCGTTTTCATGGCTCTGGGCATGAAAATAAGCCCACAGTTTACGAGACGACGACGACGACGAGGACGTGGACGTGGACGAGGACTAGGACGAGGACTTCTCATGTTGGTGTAACAAAAAGTGGGCAACTTTTTAGAGCGACTAGGAAATACTTTGCTAAATTGCCAGGGCAGTGAATGTGGCTCCCTCCTTCTGCTTCCCTTTGGGCCTGCCCTCCTGGAATGGCTACAAAAACCAATAACAGGACGTAATACACTCATGTGAGTGTGTGTGTGTTGAAGTTGGGGGGATTCCAACTTTTACAAATCGTAAGCATTTCGCACGTTTATTGAGTTGTTTTTGTATGTAAATTGGTTGCATAACTTTTGCCATGGAAAGTGTCGAGTGGCCGGAATGGCAACACAAACGCAACCTAACCCTTTCACTGCTCCCGCACTATTCTACACTGGATTATTGTCTGTAGATTTCCAGATACGCAAACGAACATTCCCTGCCCGCCTGAATGTCCTCGTGTGCATAAACTTTGATTCCACATTGAATGCGCCAGCGCATGCTAAACACATTGGAATCTCTATGTAGGGAGTTTTGACTTCAAGATACCCTTGAAGGGAATATATTTCAAACTTATAGTGGTTATAATAGTAAATTTGCATTTAGGGATGCACTATATTAGATGTGTTTTTATAGATCATTATAAGAACTAATTCAGGAAGTTAAAAAATGATTGTTCCTTAAGATATGATCTTCCTTGATTCCTTTTACATTTTCTTTAAAGCTCAATATACCCTCATCATCCACAACTAGCAGCATAAAAAGTTTAAGCTATTTTTGCGTATCTCGCAGAGCAAAGGCTTTTCCTAGTGGGAAAATGATGAGGGGAAAGGTCGCTCTGCCTGTGGTTGTCGGTTTGGTTTGTCTGTGTTCGCTTTGGTTTGCTTCGGTGGTGCATATTTGTCGTTTGCGGGTTTCAGTTGCAAATATTATAGCAAATTGAACTGTAAATAGTTTTTATTGCCCTTTTAGCCGCAGAGCCGGAGTCAAACAGAGTCGGGTCGAGAATATGGCCGGGATGAAGTGCAGCATACTCGCAGCTCTGTTTTTGTTTTCCAACTATATCGTGGGCTTGCCAGGCCGCAGTTTGTCGGCAGAAATTCCATTTTCTAGCCAGCCCAGAAAAGCCAGCAAAATGAAGTTGTGGAAATTCACAAAGATGAACTCGGCGGAATACCATAGTAAATAATTGACTTAATACGCGGCATTGCTTTAAGTTTGGAAGTAATGAAATGTTTTGTAAATCAATTTAGTAACAAAATCTTTACTGAGAAATATTGAAAGTGCTTTTAATCAAACAAACTACTTAAGACCCCTCACTTACTAAAATTTAGAAGTTTGTGAGTTTGCTAACGAATCACTTCCATTGTTTCAATTATGGAAATTAGGCAGCATGAATTCACTTAAGTTTAAGCACACTCCGGCAACGAATTGCCACCTTTGACACCGAACCAAAAGAAATCAAACAGCATGGGCGACACCCCCTCATCGGGTGATTAATGGCTGGCAAATTAATATGAAATTCCGTCGCCCGACTCGAGGGGCGACGTCGTCATCATCCTCGCAGAACACGAAACTAATAATTTGTGTGCCGTAATTTGCATAGATATATCATTATTATTATATTTCTTTCCTTTATTTCGTACACGCCTCGCATTTTCATCAATCAATCGGAGTGCAGGCCAGGCGGGGGGAAATGACATGACATGAAAAATATGTTTGCCAGTCGATGGAAAAATTATAATTTATAAAAATTTTAAGAGCAACTGCAACGTGCGCCACTCGCGCCATCAATCAAAAAATCTCGGTGGACTTTGGAGACGGACGTGGAGGTGGAGTGGACAGATGGACGGGCGTCTGTCTCGGATCCGATATTACGACGGTAGCCATCAGTGGATCGGACCAATGACCGACGCACCATTCACTTACGTGAATCTTAAAGTTGGCAGTAAATTGATACCCTGCAAAGAAGTTTCTTTAATATGAATTATTTTTCTGAATTTAAACATTTTATTAAAAAAAATGTTTAGAGTTAAATTCCTTTTTTATATAATATATAGTCTTTTATAAATTACTTACGTGGTATTCTAAGTGCCTTACCTGTAGATACTACTTTTCTGCAGTTATAAATGATTCGAATTATGGAACCGACAATGAGATGAAGACCATGACGATGCTGCCCGTCTTCTGGCGATGATGATGTTTGGTTCTCGCTCTTTGGCCATTGTTGGCCCGCCATGGCGGATGTTGAAAAATGTGAAAATTGTGAAAAATTCTACAACAATTCGAAATAACAAATGCGCCCCAGACGGAAATGGCGGAAAAAAGAAGTATATTACATTTGTTCCACGCCACGACAGGCCCGGTCAGGCGTCCAGGGGCATCAATTTGTTCGCTCTGGAGCGAGATTAATGATGTTGCACAAACAGGGGGCTCCAGGGGCCATCTAACATTAAATGCCAGCTAATTAATGATCAAACTGTTGCAAGATACGACACGCCCCCAGAAACATTATGTGCCCACATTTCGCACGATTGGAGCTGAGAACTGAGAGCTGAGAGCTGAGTGACACAGTAGTCACTCCATATGGATGATGATTGCCCTCCTCAGTCGCACTTCCCTTCCGGTTTTGTGTGTCCCATGATTAATGAGCTTATTATGTACTTTGCCACTCGCTCAATCTCTCCTTCACCCGGCTTTAGTTTCTGTGGACAAGTCAGAATTTCTTTTCTTTTTGGCACAGGCCTCATTACTCTTCATTGTTCATTTGGCGTAGTGTGCCAGAAAGATTTATTACGATCCCACTGGGTTGGCCAGGGATGGAAGAGCTCTTAGATTATTCTTTAAGAGGATGGGAAATTTACAAATTCAATCTGTTTGCTGTTAACACATTAAATATTTTACTGTGGTTTTTATCGATATATATGTAGTAAGATAATTAACCCCATTAAAACAGTCCCATTGGATTTCACTTTGATGCCTGCAATTTATTCGCTCAACGCAACATCGCGTTCCCTTTGGTAGTGGATTAAAATGTTTATCGGCCACTGAGCTCAGCAATTTGCAGTATTCCCCAGCTAAGGCTGCTGCAACATCGCAGTGGCAACAAAATCAACGAACGAACGCGCTGACAGCTGTCAACGTGTCGTATGATTAATGTTGGCCAAATGCGGTTGCATTTTTGTGCGTTTCGCGCTGTAAATGAAATGATAAATTGGGTGTGCAAGCATTTTTGCCTCGTTCCCCAGCCATTGGAGCGATTTTCAGCTTAGTAACGAAATGAAAACAGAGCAGGCAGCGAGAAGTCCCTCAATTAAATTGCCTTTCACCAGCAGAATGCCATTCAGGAAACTTTGCTACATATCCGTTCGTTCATTCCACACATGGAGTTGCACAAACAGTGGATATTCTTGTTGTTATTGCTATTGCAGTTGTTGTTGTTTGTTGCTGTGGCTGTTGCTGTTGCTGTGGCACACCTTTGTTGACACCTTTGGCCAACACAACCTCAACCTCGGGCGCTTTCGTGGCGTGTGTGAAGTGGCATGTCCACATCCGTTTCGCCTCGCGTTTGATTGATTGAAACTGCAGTTGCAACTTGCTGGCACCAAAAGGCGTTGACAGCTCGCCTCCAGCAATCAAGTAAATAGAGGGGAAGGCAGTGGGGGTACACCTTACAAAGTGCACAAATCAACACTAATAATGTGAGACCTTTGCTCTCGTGTCAGTTGAACGCGACTCGGGACACGGCAGAATTCACTTCAATGGAAATCAATGAATGAAATATCAATGGAAATTCGCTGAATGGGAAAATCGAAAGAGTTTGACGTTTGCTTCCCATTTATTTTCATTAATGAAATAGCTAAACATCCACGGAAGTAAGGGAATTAAGATAATAATAAACAACGGAGTCACGTTAGTTTTTATTATTGTGAGAACAAATCTTTACTACTTTGGCTATTCATTTTATGGCACTTCAACAGCTTTTAAGTTATCCGCGGACCAGCTTGTACTGTTAGGAAAGTAATTCCCTATCGGAATTGGCTCTTTGATGTGGATTTTAAACGAGGAAGACCGTAAGATGAACTTTATATACTCAAGGACTACAGATACCCAAACACCTCGTATTACAGCTAAACTTACGGGCTAAGTCCCTGCTGACTAGTGTAGTTAGTCATTTTAGCTTTGTCACTCACAAAAGTCATACACCTAGAATGCTCCTCTACCTGATTGTACAAAACCTTGCCAGTTCTCTAATGCGTACAAATTGCCCATTTACATCTTCGGATGCGAAGTCCACACGTCACCCAAATCGGGCTGCATTTGGATCCAAATTCAGTCAATTTCCTGTTGCAACTTCAAATGCACAACTAATAACATGACGAGCCGGCAATTTGGCTTGCCAAGGCAAACATTATAAATGCAACCATAAATGCGTCGTAAGGCAGAGGCAGCAACACGGAATCAAGGATTGCGGGGTGCTGAGGGATTTCATGACGATGATGGCAGCAGCGTCGCAAAATATGGCCGAAGGCTGCAAGCGGCAACAACATAATAAATTAATTATATGCAACATCAGCAACAGTAACCACCGTCCCCTTCCCCATCACTTTCGAACATATTCGCTTGAGTGATGTGTGGCATAAAGTCGTGAGCGTGAGCGTCTATTAGCAGTCAACGTTGACGACGTACAACAGAACCGGCAACGATCCGCCATGCCCCCTTTTCTGTCTCTTCTTCTTCTTGACAAGGCGCACACGAGCGCGAACAAACAAGGGGCGTGGCACGGACGGGGCCAAGGGGGCAAGGGCAGGGCAGGGCAGATAGTTTAGCATGTGTGGCATCTCGGAAAGGCGAGCCAAGTCAAGACAAGTCAAGTCAAGTCGGGAGTGGAGTTGAGTTGAGCTAAGTTGGTTTTTGCGGGGCTTGGGGTATTGGTTATAGGGTGCTCGGTAGATAGGGAACAACGGAGCCAGTCAAACGGGCAATCCATCCATCAGCCGCTGGCAGACAGCAATTGCAAGCTGCAAGTTGTGCGGCTATGTGGCACATTCGATGTTGCTCTGCACTAACCACAGTGAGCCACTTATTACTACTGTAATGCTGCTTTGGTTTCTTGGGGATTTACTTAGCGAAAGGGATTTTAATTAGTCCATGAAATCATAAAGGTTGTGGTGTGCGGTGTATCTTAGAAACACCTCTATTGGCAGATTACTTTGTAACTTGGAACTCGGAAACTTTGAACTTGGCTTGATATTTTATATATGGATTATCCAAAAAAACCCCCGGCCGTATTTAACATGGAAAGTTTTACCAGATTTGAAATAACTTAGTTACTTACTGGTGCTTATACACTTACCTCCTAAAAGAGTATTCCTAGTTCGGTTCCTAGTTAGTCACTTCGCCTTAATAATTCTCGGATTGTTGCTGCACAGACGTTGCCACAAATGTTGCTGACGTTGCTGACTAGCCAACTTGAAGAGACGCTGGCCGTAGATTGCAACGGGCTTCGAAGGGGGGAGGCAAGGAGACTGTTCTGATTGGAAAATCAAGTGTGTGCATCGGATGGGGAGAACGCTTGCTGCCGGGGCATGTTTGCCTGCTTTTAATGGCCCCAACTGACAGAGACTGCAGCTCCGCTAATTGCGAATGCTTGACGCATGTTGCAGCCACTCATGGGTAGACATGGACGGAGGGCTTTCGGATGGGATATGGGTTGGGGGCGGAGTGGCAGGTCTTTTGCTTAGACAGCTCCACTTCGTTGCGCTCCTCACTCAATTCGTCTCGAGTCCTCGAAGCTCGAAGCGCTGCGTGATTTTTAATTAGTTTTCTTAGAAATTAAATTGTTAATTTGATCGACGCATTTTCCGCACTCGCCTCCACTTTCCGTCTGAATCCCAATCCCAATCGCTGAGCTGCTAAGTGGCCTGTTGCTTTGACTTCATTACGGTGTTTGGTGCTTGGTGCTAGCTGTTTGCTGTTCGCTTGTTTGAGCTCTTTGTCTGCTCATTAATGCCAATTCTGGCGCGCCGGAGTTGACGCCTGCCACCATATTGCCCCTCTTAACCCATCTGCCGCCTTTGGTCACGGCCATCATGCAAGACAAGTTGCACTCGTGACTGAGTGCGCGATTCTCGGTTGTTTATGGGTCTTTCGGGGAACGAGCTATTCGGAAATTGCGGCTGCAAAGGGAATGGTATAGGGGCAAAGTGGTCTATAGTCAAACATATTTTGCAGTTAAGGGAATGCAACGTAAGAAATTGCTTGTTGACATGCAACTTGTAAAAAGTAATCTAAGAATGGATTGATGGATGAATCATTAGGCAGGACCAGGATGGTGGAAACAGAAAGGGAAATGCTCTGAGTTATGATTTTCCATTATAATGATTTCAATCTTTATAAAAAATATTTTTCATGATACTAGAAAAAAAATGGGAAAACATTATTGAACAAATTAACTTTCTCAAAATTAGACTTACATTTTATGAATCGATAGCTTTGGTCACTATCTAATCAGTCAGCCATTTAGCTGTACGGTTAGTACTGACGAAGTTAAAAGTAAATAGAAACAGGAAATAAAGACACTTTTTTTATATCTTTCGACAACAACCGAACAAAAAATATTTCGACTAGATTGATTTTTAGTGCAATATATAAAAGGTTTATCCTTTGTTGCTACTTGCAAAGCGCTGTCAAACAAAACTAGTTTACCAGTAACCCCTTCGCACACAAAAACGTCCACCCTGAAACATCTCAACTGAATGTTGCCGACGACCAAACAACTTTCGCCTCCAATCAGTCAATCAATCAATCAATCAGCGCTGAACTGACAATTTCGAGACCACTCTCCTGGAGCAAATGGCATCACCACCACCACATCGGCGGCTCAGTCACGCCCTTTACGGTGGTGCAACGTCCACGGCCAGGTGGTTGGGGTTGTGGTGCATGTGAATGTGCATGTGCCACTCACTGGCAATTAAGGCCGAAATAAAATAATACACCGAAAATGCCAATTAACCTTTGAATGCCATGCATGACCACGTAGCCTGTGCTGGCTCGACTGTGCCGTGTCCACAGGATGGGGTTATATGCCATTGTGTGTGTTTTCGGGGGCCAAAAGATAAAATAATTACCCAGACGCATAGCTCGAAAGTAAAATATAAATTTAATTTATGCATGCATGCAACAACGGCCAAGGAACAGGACAGAGGGAAAAGCACCCGGATCCGTAGCCAGTGCAATTTATCTCACGCGGATCGCAGATATATATACATCCATATCCATCCATCCTCCTCCCGATCCCTTTTTGGGCCCACCACTTCGACTGCATTTCGATGGCGGAGCCCTAAATATGAAATAATTTATGATGCGACATTTTCATCAGCAATTCGTTAAAATTCATGCATGCATGCATTTTTAAGCAGTTGTTGGGCCCCCCTTCCGAGCACCTCTCACTCCGCCTCTGAACCACCCCTTTGGGTGCCGTATTTATAAATTTATTAAGCCGCGCATTGCATTCGCTCTGAAAGGAGGGGATCACTCCTTGGCCCTGAGTTCGGCAGACAAAGCCAGGCGACGACAACACGAATCGCATGTAAAATTCTTATTTTAATCGATGCAAATATGCAGCAGCAGAGGCAACAACAATTGTTGATGACGCCGATGGTGGTGCATGCTACATGACAGGCGGTGGTGCAGTGGAGCGATGGTGCAGTGGTGTGGGGCATGTGTGTGTCGCCGGGGAGGCCTGCAGGCCTGAAGGGAAAAAGAAACTCGGCCATCGCGATAATAAATCAATTTTCACAATAAACAGTTGTGTGCCCTGACGGCATACGATGTCGACGTCTGACTGTACAGTAGAACCATGTACAGTGGGATCAGTCACAGAAAAATGTGCTTGTAATCAAGGATTTTTAAGGCGACCTTTAAAGGAGTGCATACTTAAGTTCAAGGTACTAGAAAAGTGATGGTTGTGAATTAAATTTGTTTTATTTGCCCTTTCAATCTTTTCATTGTCAGCTTTTTTAGTATCGCCTTCCGAGATTATAATTTACAGGTCTGTTCTGGGCGTTTCGCCTTAGATCCGTGATTGGGTAGCTACCGCCTTGAGCGGCTGTCTCAACGGGTGGACATTGTGGAATAACATTTCCGAAGACTGGCAGGGCAGCCATCGCGACAACAGCCAGCATGGCAAAGAGAACAACCTGACGGATTTAAAGGTGTTAAATATTTATTATATTACTTCTTAAGCAAATGCACTCACCATCAACTTCATCTTGAACAGGACTTCTGAATATGGCTTCTGCTCAGGCTGCAACAGCTTTTATACCCCATAACATCGGCTTATCACTTTCAGAAATGATGAATTATCAGCTTGAGCTTCGATTGACACAATCTCTTTTCGCGGTAAAATGAAATATATATAAATAATTCCTGCTAATTTGAAATAATATGAGAAATATTTCGCTTGAACATAATCTTAAAGTGCATTATATGCAATCAAGTGACATATTTTTCCACGGAAAGAGGCAAAAGTGCAGTACGTTAGGCATTGGGAAGAGTTTTAGGAATTTCATAAATGAATAACTTATTCAAGTTACTGACTCCACTGTGCATTTCGTTCGAATACGCTGCGAGGGGCTTACACTTCTCGCACCACTTAATGTCTTGGCAGCGACATAATAAATTAACTGCACTGCAATTATTTTCACATTTTCGCAAAGTGAATAAAAATTATAAAATTATGTGGGAGCGATGAAAGGGGCGGAGTGCTCTCGAGGGGGCAGGTCGATAGCGTGGACGCGAAAGTGAGAGCTTATGTAAGGGATTATCCGGGGGCCAAGCAGCTGACGTCTGACCCTTGGCCTCGGCCAGCACCACTGTCACTCCCCACCACCTTGAGCGTGAGTTTTCCCCACTCAGAAAAACAAGTCCAGCCTGCAGTTAATCAAAATATCAAATTAACTGTCGTGTCTGTGGCAAATAAATCAAAATAAAAGCCGGTCCCAGGCTTTGAGCCCAGCTGAACTGAATCGGGCTGGAGGAGAGAAATCCTCCCAATCCCCCCTGTGAACCCCATTTGGGCGCCCAGGGCCACCTCCTCAATCAAGCCAACTGATGACGCTCCCCTATGAAAATTTCACATGCAGAGACTGGCTGATGAGTGAGCTGAATTTATTATAGGCCATGGCGATGGCGATGTACGTGATTTTATGAATGAGCATCGAGGTGTGAGGCGGCGGCAGGAGACGGCGAGTATTGGTGTGTCGTCAACGCCTTTGGCGGTGATTATTCAATGTCAAAACTTAATGTCCCCAAATTGCAGTTGTTGTCAGCGGTCAGCCATGAAATTGAATGCATGTCGCCCCGGTGCAGAAGGCGGGTGCTGCGGCAGCTGTTGCATAGTTTTAGGCGTGACACATGTCAGCTCCTCCAACCCTCGAACCCTCAATCCCGACATTCTGCGATTATCCCCAAAAAGCAGCCGGCAATTTAACCAAGCCGGAAAAACGAAATAATAAAATGGGTTGCCTTGGTTACCAACAAAGTTGGTCAGAAATCAAATACTCTTTTTTCTTATTTAATTTATAAATATGGACTAACAATTTGGAAAAGACCTTTCAGCTAATTAAACCTATTTATTGTAAAACATAAAAGGTTTAAAAATACCACCGAAACTCCTAACTCAAACTTTGTAACCCAATGTTAGGGTATCAAAAATAAACCCCAATCCCTGGCCGGCCAAACTCAACTCGAGCTCAACTCATTTGCCAGCAGCTGCCATGGGGCATGTCCAGTTGCAAGGAGGGAATGGGAATGGGAATCGAGATGGGGAAAGGGGGCGAGTCCGAGCTGGGGAGAAGCTTGTTACCATAAAATTGGTGTAAACGAATTGCAGTCATCGTCATCGCCGTCGTCGTCGTCGTCGCTCTGTCGGCATTGCAAAAGTCCAAATCGCTCGTGGAGCGGGGGGTGCGTCATTGTGAAATGTCTGTAATTTGGACAATTTGATGAATGGTTATTTGCCACGAGATGGCAAAGTGGTCATTATTCTTTATCTCCTTCACTGGCTCCTTTTCCACTGCCCTGCTGCATTTTTTCGGTACCATTTTTTTTGTTGCTGGTTTTGTGTTCAACGTTTTACTAACTTTTTCATTGCACATTTGGTGCAGCTTTTTAGCATTTTTTGGTCACCTCTGCAGCAGCGGAACTAAGTGCATTGTTTGTCGGAGGGTATCATCAGTCGGTCATTAGGTTGATGGAGGGCAGTGGTCTTTATTAAAAAAAGGGTATCAAATTGTGAAATTTCCTCATGGTATTTCGAGCTATCGTAGAGACCCTCCACTGGGCTATACTTATATAAATTTCTTACTTAATGTTATTCTTCGTTAACTAATATACATTTTTAAACAGTTTTTTTGACAATGTGCCTTTTTTATTTTCATTTAAATTTTTATATAAATTCTCCTTTTTAATAATCAAATAGTCTTTATATAAAACTATCATCACAAAGTGAGTATGGAATATTTTACAGGGTACCTGTAACATTACTGATATAAGCTCAGTTGCCCTCCTTGGTGCTTTATTTTAATGACTCGCTTGATGGTCGAATAAATGGCATTCGCTTGGCCTGCAGCTCGTTTCATAATTCAATAAATTCAAAAGGCGTTCACCTGGCGGCTGAGGAGCCGTAATATTGTCATTAACCCTCTTTTCCTCGCGGTTAATGGGGTTTTTGGGTGTAGATGATTGGTTGATGGGGCTGGAGATGGATTCGTGACCCGTTATCATTTGGGCCCAGTGATTGCAGTCCACAAAATGCATCCACATTGGTTGGTTGGCCGTTTCGGCCTGGTTGGCTATGTGTGGTCGCGGTCAGCTGGAAGCCATCTGTTTAGCAAAGCTCCCCTGTTTGACCACAAGCCGGTCGGCACAGCCCTTGGCACGCCCCCGCCCCTAGAACGCCCTTGGGCATGGCCCAGAATGCGTTCCACATGGCGGCAGGCCTAATTACATTTCTCGGCAAATGGCAAATGGAGAATGGCGTGATTGCACACGCAAATGCGCTCCGTTGTTTATATGCGTAGCAAATAGATTTATGCGCTCGTAATTTACACGCTTAATTCCTTAAGGCAAAGCCCCTAGAGCAACAGCGGAAGAGGCAGCTGAAGCACTTGCTGCACTGCACTGAGAGAAATTACTAATTTAACGTTTGGAAATGCTTAATTGAAATATTTATTTTTCTTAAAGCATAATTGTATACTATATAGGTTACCAATCTCAAAACTGATTACTAATCTTAAAATTGGTACCATATTACCAACTTCTTTAAGTGCTTTAACCCTCTCTCCTTTCTGGACATTATCCCACTATTCAACTGAATGGATATGCCAGTTCCTGCCTCTTTCTGTGGCCATTCTCAACATAGGGTCCATCTTTTGGTTTGTGGAGTACGTGAGACCCGCGACGAACGACCAACTCGTGCAAGTACTTAAATTACCAAATGAGTTATGCCCTCGCAAATACTCCAGAAATACCTAAGAAAATACAAGGGGACTAAACGAACCAAGCTAAATGCAATGAAATTGAGACTAAGCTGAAATAGCAAGAGATTCATTTAAACGATTGGTAGTTTGGTTTTATAACATGCTCCAATTTGTCCGTGTGTTTTATGAAAGTATAAAAAAGGACTTAAAAAAGGCTTGCTATTGAGTCAAAGAGACCTCTTGAAACTCTCTTAGCTCATAGCCAGCCCGGGAAACTCATTGACCTGATCCCCTACCATCCGAGTGTCGCCGGGCCGGCACTTGCTTTGCTGTTTAATTTTCCGACCCAATCATTAATCAAACGTTGCCTTATTTGCATTGGCCCAGCTTCATCCGTTCGGGCCTTTCCCCCAACGGATCCCTCACCAACATGGTATGCGAATTCCCGGGTTTTATAAATGGGCTATGAAATGGCCTAGGCAGTCTCACCCAGCCACCCTGCCATACTCCCCTCTCTGCCCCTCAGGCCGCTTAATTTATTTGTAAATATTAACACATAAATTTTTCAGAACGAACGTTTCGCGATGTTGTTCTGGGGATTTGCGTGGAGCCCTCGGGTATTTATCAATATTTTATTGGCCCCATAAGCTTATTAATTGTCCGGGTTACCTTTCTGTGGGGGATTTAATTAGCCGGCAGTGGCATTGTAATTGCATTACCAATCCATCTCCATGGATTGGTTTTGTCGGTGGAAAGTCTCTCCACATGCGAAGATGCGTGCGTCAGTGGTCGGCATGGTAACACTGACCACAAACGAACTGCAAGGACAACGGAGATGGGGAACGGAATGGAATGGAATAAAAGCGAATGATATGGAAGGGGATGGGAGTGGAACGCACCGGACTGGCTGTTGCTCCTGACAAGTGCACACGAATGAGTTTCATGAGCTGGACTCATCCGGACAGTCTCCGGGAATCAGGGACATAGGGAATACTCTCCCATCTACTAAGGGGTATGGTTCCCTACATTGCAAGATATGTAAATATCGCGAATATCTATAATTGAAATTTCGTTAAATTTTAATATTTATAAATCTATAGAATTAAGTTTAGTTATTAGAAATATTTCTCCCAACTGACTTTCTTAATAATTTACATCCTCTTTACATCCTTTGCCCAACTTTGTTAGGGTATCCCGGCATTCTTCCTCCGGCCTGACTGAGTGACAGCTGCTTGCCAGTCGGACATTATGTGTGGCTCCAGCTAACCGTACTCGTATTCCTACTCCTACTTCCAGCCCCAGCATCCAGATGGCTCCTCCGCCTGCCTGGACACATGAAGATGACATGACTTGGCCCGCCCCTGGCTGTAAACTCTGATGATGGCCTCTCCTGGCAGGCAACTCATGCTGAAAAATCCTGTTGACGAGGATAAAATGCAAAAACAGACCGAGCGGGGATAGAGGAGAAGGAGGATGAGGATGAGGCGGAGTTAAGTGAAGTGTAGACACAGTGTCGGGCTTTGCATCCAAGGACGGGTCTTGGCTTGGGATAAGTTTATTGTTGTATGTGCCACACGAATTGTTTTCTGGTCAAATCTGTCACTCGGCCTGTCCAACTGTCACAGTCTAAAAACGAGAACGGAAAGCCAAGTTGGGGAAAGGAAAGGACATGACATCGACCCTAAAAACCAGGACCAGTTAGACTCTAGACCCACTCATTGTTAGGTTTTGATGCCAGAGATTGATGATTGTATTGTGTTGATTGTGGAGAATGTGTCATAATCTAATGG